CATTAACAAACTTCAACTGACCCAAATTTTTGGCAGAATCCTGAAGTTCACCTAAGAGTTTCTCTCTCTCTATTTCAAGTTCATTAACCTTTTTTAATACAGCTTCATTGACCTTCTTGATTTTAAGACTTTCCTCAAATAACTGTCTATAAAACTCTTGAATATCGATTTCATCCTCAGAATTCTCACTATGTTCATCATTTTCTACCTTTCATTCTCCTTATCAAATTCAATATTGGCCATAGACGTGAAAGCCATAAAATTTTGTTCATCCTCACAGTATAACTCTGAACACTCGAATCTGATTCATCATCACTTAAAGTCACTGTTAAGGCCCTGCATTTTCCTTTATTCAAATTCTTTTTCAAATTAGGACATTCATTCCTATATTGACCAAAACCCCGACACTCATGACATCAAACTAATTGAGTTTTCTTACTAGAAGTCCTAGGGTTATTTTTCTCATGCTTATCTTTCAAGAATTTACTTGGGACATCATTTTTCCTATCGTGAGATTTTCTCCTTTTCCTCATCACCTTCTGGAATGTTTTTACGAAATAAGTTATTTCGTCATCCCTAAAGGTCTCAGCGTTAGTAAACTCACTCTCTTCTTCTCTAATGATGTTCATGTATATGGATTTAAGCTTTTTTGGTTGAGAAATGGTGGGTTCATAGCTTTGGAGAGATCCTATGAGTTCTGCTATCTTATCTTCATCTAAGTTTTTACTTTCTTCAATAACAGTGATCTTAGGTCTAAATCTTTCAGATAGGGATCTAAGGACTTTTCGAACTATCTTAGACTTGAGAATCTTCTCACCCAGGTTGAAACTCGAGTTTACTATATCATTAAGCTTCTCATAAAATTTATCAAACGATTCATCGTCTTTCATTCTAATTTCTTCAAACCTAGAAGTTAACATTTGTAGTTTGGAGTTCTTCACAGTTTTGGTACCTATGTGTGTGGTCTCTAAGATATTCCAAACCTCTTTAGCAGTATCACACATCGACATTCTCCTAAACTCTTCTGCAGACACAGCTATAAATAGAGCACGAAGTCCTTTACTATTCCAGTTGCAATCAGCAACTTGATCTTTGGTCCAAAGGGAAATATCAGTGGGTATAACAACACTAGCAACAGTGGATGAAGGAACAGTCCAACCGTTTAGAACACTAATCCAAATACGTTCATCCAACACTTTAAAAATACTCTCATTCGAACTTTCCAATAAGCATAGTTGCTTTCGTCAAAAAAATGGAGGCACAGATATGAACTTACTCATCTAAATTAATTAAAAGGTCATGAATCGAAATGTTGCTCTGATACCAACTTAAATTACGAGGTTCGATTCAAATTACACCTAGAAGGGGTGAATAGGTGTTTATGCAGATTTAAAATTTAATAATTAATTAGTAACAAGTCATTATTAATTATCTCTAGACGGTTAATCAATTAGTCCAATTATCCTAGGTTGAATTGTCACAGTTATATAGAAAACAATAAATGATAAATAAATTGATCACGGAGAAACCCCAACTGGGTATAAACTCCGGGCACTTTGACGGTCAGAAATCCATTATAAACGAATTTTAAACTTATAGTCCGCCAGACAAGACTACCACTAGTACTTTCTAACCTCTTGACTGCAATTCGTACAGCTCTCCTGGATTACGTGCTCCTTCACCAACTCCCCTCTTTATAAATTCATCTATCTCCTGTGGATCAACGAAGAACTTTGTGTTCTCCAACAAATGGAACTCTAGTCACCTTCCCTTAATCTTCAGCACTCTGACAGATGTATAGTCATGGCGACAGTCCAGCGAAATTGCGGTGCCATTTTTCCTTCTTTTTATTCTTGAACCCTAGACCTAATATAACTCATTTTATAACAATTGCAACTTACTCCTTGACTTTTACAACACAATAAATTTAGTCATTTTTGTTCACAGACTTGCCAATTACATAAAAAACCTAACACATTCGATTGGAGATAAGGTTTACATCCACCTCTATTATATTCATTTATGTTATGTTATATTATGGAAGGAGAATCATGACCCTCTCCATCCTTTTGTAGAGCCTAAAAAATAGACGTGGGTTGTGATGATGCTTTAATATAAAAAAAAAAAAAAAAAGTCATTTCATAGATGTCAATCGTCATAAACATATCTCGAATACTATACAAGAATGTTTACTAGAAAATGTTGTAATTTAACAGTTGAGATGCTTCCCTGGATAAAAACTATTATTTCTAGTTAGGGATGGCAATTCGAACTGTTAAAACTGAAAACCGTGGTTAACCGAACCGAATGGGGCGAAAAAAACCAAACCGATGATGCAATGGGGCGGTTATGATTTTGATTTTAATGAACCACTTCATTTAGGGGCGGGTATGGTACTTAGCAATGGTGCCCCACCCCGAACCGATTACCTGTTAAAATAAATAAGTAAGTTGGACAATTGGGCTTTCCATTATTCTTTCTCAAAATTAATTGAGCAATTTTGATAATTGAACT